TCTTGTCTCTCCTCCTTCCTTCCTTCCTTCCTTAGCCTGATTACCTGGTCCTTGACTGCTGTTTTCCTCCTGATGTGCCTGTATAACAGTTTCGGGTCAGATTTGGCTTTCGCTGCTATGTCGTTTTCATATTGTCGTAGGGCCTCCCTTCTTATCTGTGCATATTCGTTTCTGACTCTACGACTGCTCTCCTTATTCTCCTGGGTCCTTTGCCTTCTATATTTCTTCCATTCCCTAGCACACTTGGTTTTTGCCTCTCTGCACCTTTGGGTGAACCATGGGCTCATCCTGGCTTTTTCATTATTCCTGTTACCCTTGGGTACAAACCTCTCCTCAGCCTCCTTGCACATTGTTGCTACATATTCCATCATCTCATTAACTGGCTTCCCTGCCAGTTCTCTGTCCCATTGAACCCCGTTCAGGAAGTTCCTCATTCCCGTGTAGTCCCCTTTCTTGTAGTTTGGCTTCATTCGTCCTGGCCTTCCTGCTTCTCCCTCCACTTGTAGCTCTACTGTGTATTCGAAGCTTAAAACCACATGATCGCTGGCCCCAAGGGGTCTTTCATATGTGATGTCCTCAATATCTACTCAAGGCGAATACTAAGTCCAGTCTTGCTGGGTCATCCTCTCCTCTCTCTCTTGTAGTGTCCCTTACATGCTGATACATGAAGTTTTCCAGTACCACCTCCATCATCTTAGCCCTCCATGTATCTTGGCCCCCATGTGGCTCCAAGTTCTCCCAATCGATCTCCTTGTGGTTTTAAAGTCACCCATGATCAGGAGCTTTGCCCTGCATGCATGAGCTCTTCTGGCCACTGCAGCCTGTGTGTGTGTGTGTGTGTGTGTGTGTGTGTGTGTGTGTGTGTGTGTGTGTGTGTGTGTGTGTGTGTGTGTGTGTGTGTGTGTGTGTCGTACCGAATAGGTAAAACTGATCAATTAGCAAGAACTCATTTAAAATTAAGTCCTTTCTAAAATTTTCTCCTACACATTTAAAGATTTTTTCATTGATGTAAATATAAAAATTAACGATTTTGTACCAAAAGATCCTTAGAAAACTTACCTAACCTTATTATAACAAGCGCGATTTAATTTAGCCTAATCCAACTAAATATATTTTATATAAGTTTACAGTAATTTAATAATAAACAATGAAATATATTTTGTTCGTTAGGTTCATTCAGAATGGTTTTTGCGAAATTATTGCATACACAAATTTTCGCTTGCCTTATTCGGCAAGAAAAGCGTTGCTATTTAAGCCAAAATAGCAAGTTTTACCTATTCGGCGCGACATATATATATATCAGAGTGAGAGAGAGAGAGAGAGAGAGAGAGAGAGAGAGAGAGAGAGAGAGAGAGAGAGAGAGAGAGAGAGAGAGAGAGAGAGAGAGAGAGAGAGACAATAGGGAAGAAGAGGGAGAGTTCACATTTAAATTCACCAGTTTGTATACTGGACTTTGCATTTCAGGCTGTTTTAGAACCCAGCCTCAAAATTTATTGTCCTAGATTTGTATTCCAGATATTCAGGGATTTAAAGTGGACGATTTACCTTCCAGCACCAGGGTATCCAAGTTTATATATTATTATTATTATTATTAACAACACTACCAGCAGCAGCTCCACCACCACTGCACCAATAGCATCAGCATCAGCAGCAGCAGCAGCAGCAGCAGCAGCAGCAGCAGCAGCATAAGCAGCAGCAGCATAAGCAGCAGCAGCATAAGCAGCAGCAGCAGCAGCAGCAGCAGCAGCAGCAGCAGCAGCAGCAGCAGCAGCACCACCACCATCACTAGACCCCCCTGTGCTAACAGATTTCAAGAGTGTATGAGCCCTTTCCAGAGGGGCCCTTTCACTGAAACCTTCCCAGCGAGACCTGTCCAAGAAGAACTTAGTTTGACATCGTCACAACTCCACGCTGCCTGCACTAGTTATGTGCCCTGCTCACAAAAAAGATGGCGATCTAGGTGCCTACATCATGCTGGTAAAAGAGTTGCTCTTTGCTGCCAGAGGCGGTGGAGGTGCTGTGTAGTAGTATATGTTACTTTTGATATACCTTTGATGAGTTCCTAGAGTTTTTATACTCCCAGAGCCCGGCCATGGCCCAGGCTTTTCTGGTGGTAGCCTGGTCACCACCCTTCAACACCGTCATATCCTGATACAAGCCAGGTAATCTTCTCTTCTCTTGTAATCAGATTAAGAAGAGATTTTGGATTTTACAACCGAAGTGCCTAGTTTATTGTGTACCCCATATCCTTCCTGTGGGTGGTAATGGCTAGCTTATTGTGCACTTCATATCCATCCCATGGACGGTAGTGTAAGAGCGTGTAGATACACAACAGGCCTAGGAGCTCGGCCCTAAAAGGCTCAGGCCGACAACAGTTCACCTGTTGTGCAGGCGAAATGTTACGCCTGCACAACTGGCTTCTTCAGTCGAACACAGGTGAGCACAAAACTGGAAGCAGTAGTATTAATGACGTGATCAGTCCGTCACCCTTAGGTGTGGTGGTCAGTCCCCTCAAGCCTAAACCACAGGCACGAGGCCAAACTTCATATACTAGTATGTATAACAACCACGAGGGAAGGGATGATAGCTCTAGGCCTTTCGTGTTGTAATCAAGATATCGGGAGTTCGCAATGTTGCAGAAAGTCCAGGTAGATGCGTTAAGGGGACTTTCTACTCATTTCTGAAACCCCCTGCTGTGTTGATAGATCTAGGCCTTTCATATTGCAATAATTTAACTCCACCCCGTGGTTGTTTTCCATCTTGTATAGGTTGTTCGCGATTATTGCATATACTAGTATGTAAGGTTAGGCCGCATATCAGTGCTTTAGACCCGAGGGACTGACCACCTACCACCAAGGGTGACGGACTGATCCCGTTAAAACTACTACTGCTTCAAGTTTTGTGTTCACCAGTATTCCACTAAAGAAGCCTGTTGTGCAGGTGAAACATTTCGGTAGTAAAGATAATCAAATGTCGTAAATGTGTCTTATTCATCAAGTTATCGGTATCCGGTAGTGTATGCCATCACTTATGAAAAACTCATCTCTTGCCTTGACCTGTCATGAATGGATCTGTCACTTAGAAAAAGATCTTTAATACTAGCGTTTTCAAGACTACCCAACACCCACCTAACCCAACTTCAAAGACGCTATTATTTAATTAAACCACAAGAGAAAACATACCAAACAACAGCAACACTATGTGGAAAAAGACACTTATGTACGGTTCGGGACATTTATTATAGGAAGCGTTTCTCCACGAGTGACTTCTTCAGTCCTCATACGATAACTAAGAAATAAGTATATATAGTGGCAAGAGTCAGGTTGCAAGCCTCGAGGCTTGCAACCTGACTCCTGTCATTATATACTATCTTTTTTTTTTAGTTATCTCTGTATTAGGACTGAAGAAGTCACTCGTGGAGAAACGTTTATTATGATAAATGTCCTGAAATGTACGTAAGTGCCTTTTTCCACATCTTGTCGGTATCATCATACCATTTCTGAACACTCCATCAACCACCATTTCTCAACAACACTGCAACCACCATTCCTTCCTCACCTAATTTACATCAAAATATCTTACAACAATCATAACTATCAAATTCAAAATCACTATTTTTCGTGAAGCACTAAACCCTCGAGGGTCACTGAAGACTCTTACACCAGATATTATAGGAATTTACCCAACATCGTCATAAGATTTCACTTTTAAAGGAGAGAAATTTAGTGAAATGTTCCAGCCACGGTATTGTGGATTTTTTTCTTCCTTGTGTGACAACTCGACCTCACAGATGGCTTCAACTTTACCCTGTACCCCCGATAATTTTTGCTTAATAATAAATAATGTACAGAGCTATATAATCACTTTGTAATTGCGCTCTAATAAAGCAATTGCTAGTTAGGGTCAGACTTAGAAATTAGGTGAGGAAAGATAACAGTTCTTGGCTTGTAAAATGTACGGTACGAACTCTTATAATCATGGGGAGGGAAAGGGAGGAGAGAGAGTGGGGGAGAGAGAGAGAGAGAGCGGGGGGGAGAGAGAGAGGGGAGGGAGGGGGAGAGGTAGAAAAAGAGGGGGAGAGGGAGAGAAAGAGGGGGAGAGGGAGGGTGATGGAGAGAGAGAGAGAGAGGAAGAGAAAGAGAGCCAGAGAGACAGAGAGAAAGAAGCAAAAAAAAAAAAAAAAAAAAAACACATAGGCAAGGCATGATGAAAGTTAAGACACTTGTGCAACATCTGGTTATCTTTATTGTAGACGTTTCGCCATCCAGTGGCTTTATCAATACAAATTGTAGAGAATCTCTACAACCACGGTGGTCTAAACACCACCTCCAAGGCTGAGGGACTGATTACCTCATCTTTTGTATATAGTTCTTCGTATTTCTTATTATGTCCAAGAATTTGTATTGATAAAGCCACTGGATGGCGAAACGTCTACAATAAAGATAACCAGATGTTGCACAAGTGTCTTAACTTTCATCTTGTCGGTATTGTATACCTGTCTTGCACAACATAGGCAAGGCATACAGGTAGAAGACTACAGAGTCAACAATGAGTATCTCTTAAGGACTCTATTTCCACCTTAATCAAGGACTATCTCCTATCATCTGGATGGCCGAGGTAAGGATAGCAAAGCAGACAGGTCTCTCCCCATTCTCCTTTCGAGAAAATACTATACTGTATTTGAAATACCATACTATATTTGAAAAAAAATGTCATGGAACTTACAGATAGGAGCCTAGAAAAAGGCATTTATGTACAGTTTAGGATATTTATCAGAGGAAACGTTTAGGACTGAAGAAACCACTCGTGGCGAAACATTTCCTCTAATAAACGTCCTGAACTGTGCATAAGTGCCCTTTTCCACATCTCTTCGGTATCACCAGACCATTTTACAGATAGCACTGGATGGAAGACCTTGATTATTCACTACTACTGCATAGAACTGCTCTTTCTTTTGCTGCTAGATACCACTACATCTACCTCTAGATACTCCATTACAGGTAGACGCTAACAATCGAATGTCCTGAGCAGCTTCGGAGTAAACACCGGGATACAAGTGGCCACTGCACAGAGAGACGTCTGGCTAACACATTCCCCTGTCCAGTCGGTTCCTGCAAGCCGCGCTTCGGCGAGGACACCTTCCATGGGGAGACTAATGCAATGCTCCACACCTCTCACAACAGATCTGTCAGTGACTTTATAAATAGTATTAAATGTTGGTAGAATTACCGACAATACGTTAGGTAAAAGGACAAGTGCAACTAATGCAATATTTTATTGTTGCAACGTTTCGCTCTCCAGGAGCCTTGTAAAGCCGAAACGGTTTGACAAAACTCCTGGAGAGCGAAACGTTGCCACATTAAAATGTCGAATTGCACTTGTGTCCTTTTGTTTGACTTGATAAAATTCACTGTGTGGGCGAAACGTAGTCAATAAAGGATCAAGTTATACTGCATTTGTGTGTGTTTATCCATCATGTCAGTATTTTATAATATTCACCTTCAACTCTGAGAACCTCTTACTCACATTCCTGTTAAACCTCGTATCACGAAGTGTCACACCACAGCTGATAGTAAAGCTATAAACCAAGTTACATAACTATACAACTACTGTCGAAGCTTCAGCATATTAAACTTAAAACATGTTGAAGCCTTGTATTATGTTTCCTTGAAGCTTCTTGTTATCCGAGAGAGAACAAGTACAGTGATGTATGTTTTTCTTCATATGTCTTCTTCCTTACTAATGTTGTGAGTATTGATGCTCTATTCTGCACCTTCTCGTGTTTATCTAAACATTTATGTGGATGAACATCAAAATGGTATACAATACCGACAGGTTGTTAGGTAAGACACATATGTAACAGTTAGACAACTTTATTCCGAAACGTTTCGCCTACACAGTAGGCTTCTTCAGTCGAATACAGGGTGATGGACTGATTACATCGTCTTCACATCTCTACTGTTCCTGCCTACTTTCTGTATTCGACTGAAGAAGCCTACTGTGTAGGCGAAACGTTTCGGAATAAAGTTGTCTAACTGTTGCATATGTGTCTTACCTAACATTTATGTGGATAAGAGACCAGAACAGAACAGTATAATCAAGATGGGTCTGAGGTGAATCTTGTACATAATCTTCTGAGTTTGTCTCCGTGTGAGTTATTACTCAGAATTGACAAGTGTTCATTATACTTTATCCATATAGCATAATAATCATTGTACTGAATGCTGAAACTCATTATATACTTGAAGGTTGAAAATATAATTTTATGTTAATATTGTTTCTTGCTACGAAGCCTTGCATACTGTTGTCTTGTTGCATGTAACAATGCTTGCTATATTTCAGATCACTGTTCATGATTGCTCTAAGGTCTTTCTCTTCTATTGTCTCTGGTTAATTTCCGTATAATTTACACTTACATTATTATTATTATTATTATTATTATTATTATTATTAGATACGAAGTTCATTATGTTGCATTTATAGGCATTAAAATTCATTCTTCACTCTTGTGGCCATCGTGACAAGATTATTCAAGTCTATTTGAATAACTTGACGGTCGTTCAGGGATGCCACACATCCCCTTAATTTCGCGTTATCTGCAATTCTGGATATTAGTCCCAACTCTAGGTGGTTTATGTAAAGTACGTTACAAACAAGACCGGGGAAAGAACAGACCCTTGAGGGACGCCACTCGTCACATTCCCCCACTCATATACTTCGCCATTTAAAACTACGCTATTTCGTGTCAGTGAGCCAATCACTGAAAGATACAAGGATTTTTTTTTTCGGAGGGTCAGCACCCCCGCGGCCCAGCTCCAAACCAGGCCTCCAGGCGGATCAACCAGGCTGTTGCTGCTGGTCGCAGGCAGTCCAACCTATGGCTGATGAGCTGATTTGAGAAATTTGTCCAGTTCTCTCCTGAATACAACCAAAGGTTGGTTGGTCATTCCTCTTGTGTACAGATTGTACCCTATACTGTGAACCTTTGAGAGAGAGAGAGAGAGAGAGAGAGAGAGAGAGAGGAGAGAGAGAGAGAGAGAGAGAGAGAGGGGGGGGGGACAGACGCGGGGGTCGTGGGACTGCAGGCCAATTCCTGCAGCTGCGGACTAATGCAAGCGATTACCTGCTTATCTCACCATCTCTGGCTCTGTCTAAACACGGGTTCCACTCTCTTCTACCTTGCTCCCGAGCGCTCAAGGGCCAGCTTGTTAGCGCTTGAGCGTGTCTTTTATGTTTCACTGCTGGGGTGGTAAGGAAAGGGGGAGTGAGGTAGTGAAGGAGTGGTAGTGAGGTGGGGTGAGGGGTTAGTGAGGTGGTGTTTGGGGAGTATTTTAACGTACAGGCGAAGGGGGGAAATGATGAGGTGAAGGGAAATAATGAGATGAAGGGGAAGTGAGAGCAATGAGACGATTGAGTGGTCAGGAAATGATGAGATAGTGAGATGGACGGTATGGGAAATGAGGAGAAAAGTGGTGACGGGGGTGGTGAAGAAATAATGGGATGGTGAAAGGGGGGAGGAATAAAATGGTGAGGGGCGAAGAAAATGAGATGGTGAGGGAAATGGCGAGTTAGTGAGGGGGAGTTAAACTGGTGAGGTGATGGGAAGGAGGGGATGGGTGAGAGGAATAATGTGGTGGTGAAGCAGTGGGGGATGGTGAAGCAGTGGGGGATGGTGAAGCAGTGGGGGATGGGGGTTGTGCGAATGTTCTGACGCCAGGCCGTACAACCGCGGTTATCATGCCTCGTCTGACAACCGCGGTTATCATGCTTCGTCTGGCAGCCGCGGTTATCATGCCTCGTCTGGCAGCCGCGGTTATCATGCCTCGTCTGGCAGCCGCGGTTATCATGCCTCGTCTGGCAGCCGCGGTTATCATGCCTCGTCTGGCAGTCGCGGTTATCATGCCTCGTCTGACAGCCGCGGTTATCATGCCTCGTCTGACAGCCGCGGTTATCATGCCTCGTCTGACAGCCGCGGTTATCATGCCTCGTCTGACAGCCGCGGTTATCATGCCTCGTCTGGCAGTCGCGGTTATCATGCCTCCTTTGACAGCCGCCGTTATCATGCCTCGTCTGACAACCGTGGTTATCAGTCAAAACAGAGAAATGGAGCTGGTCTCGAAAGTGTAGTAGGCGTAATGACGGGGTCAGTCCCGGAGCTCGGGGGGGAAAAAAAAACTCGCACGCATCAAAGTTCCCAGGGACAGGAAGCACAAAACAGTTGCAGCAGACCGTACACTGTCCCCATCTGGAATGTGTTTGATGCCTTGAGTGATGACAAACTTAAGAACAGTGAACTTAAATTTAGGTATAATGAATTGTCAATGAATAAACAGAAGGGTGAACGAAGGGCTCGACCCTCGGTCCGTAAATTGAGGATAGTGTTGACGACAAGCAATCCGACGTGAATGAGGTGGGTGCTCGCTGTCCAACGAACACCATCCTTATCATCGCTCGTCGTGCTGCTAACAGCTACGACTCTGACGATGCGGATGACAACACTTCTCTCCATATTCAGAACAATGCCCTGACGGGTTTATTGCTGAAAGCTACGATGTACGATAGGCAAGAGACCTTGATCATAGTTTGGGTTCCAGGTTATTTTAGATATAGCTATATGCACTATATCAAGATCTATACTAATCATGTTCCTTTACAAAAGCATGCTAGACGGTCTCTAACATTCAGTGACCGCAACCTCACCTCACAATTTAATGCAGTTGCTAATACACTTGTCAAAGCATATCGCTATTGTCAATACTGATACCTCCTCAGTTGAGAATCTTGAGAGTGCTCGCCTGGGGACCCGATTTTGTCGCTTGTGATAATGTTCATGGCCGAAGATGCCAACTCTGAGAGTCAAACTGCCTTTGACTCTGAGAAACTTAGTGATTATTCAAGGTTTGTTTTGCCGAGTAGCCAGACTAGTATAACCTGGTTGAACTGTCCACCAGTTGATGATCCCGTCTTCCCTAGAGCCTCTAACCTCGAGATTCATCTATGATATACAGGGAAAGCATTCACAGAGTGAAGGGTAAAAGGACACAAGTGCAACCAATGTGACATTTTATTGTGGCAACGTTTCGCTCTCCAGGAGCTTCATCAAGCCGTTATGCATGTATTACTACTACTACTACTACTACGATTAGTATTACAACTACTACCCCTCACTTTAAGACAATATATATCCTCTGTGTAACGGCTTGATAAAGTTCCTGGAGAGCGAAACGTTGCCACAATAAAATGTCACATTAGGTGCACTTGTGTCCGTTTACCCAACATATTGTCGGTAATTCTACCAACATTAATACATTTACAAAGTGAATCATTCTTTGGTTACACCTGCCCTCGAGTCCTGCCAAATGACACTTCTGAATTTACAGATGCAATGTTGAAAGATCGTCTTAGGTTCGGTATCCACCCAACTCCCATGACTGCACGTCACCCAGCTAGCAACGGCCTTGCAGAACGTACCAAACAAAAAATCACTGTCATACTGCAAGTGATGATCAACCTTGACTGTGCCACCTTGGATGAAGAGATTCCGGGTGAGACGAGTACGTTAAAATCCTTAACAACGTGATAGGCTGCTACTACTACTATCATTAATTCCCAAAATGCTTTTGCTACAGTTTAGAGGAACAAGCGTCAAGGTTTGTCAGGAAACAGGACAAGTGTTTGTTAGGTAAGACACATATGCAACAGTTAGGTATCTTTATTTCGAAACGTTTCGCCTACACAGTAGGCTTCTTCAGTCGAGTACAGAAAAGTTGATAGAAGCAGAAGATACTTGAAGACGATGTAATCAGTCCATCACCCTTAAAGTTTTGAGGTGGTCAGTCCCTCAGTCTGGAGAAGAGCATTGTTCCATGGAATGAAACAATATGGAGATGAAGTGACAGGATGGAGCACTTATATAGCGCCAAGAGGTGAGACGTAGGTCACTAGAAGAGGTAAGAACTCAGATGCTGGGAGGTCAGGTCCCTCTCAAATCCAGCCGTTCTCACTAGTAGAGGTTGTCGAAGTTGATTGTAGGTCTGTACCAAGATACCCTTGTGTTGCAGTGTCTGACAGATTGAACATTAAAATGGTATAGCAACGGACAAGTGTTTCCTGAGGCAGGTCTTAGTCAGAGACTCGCACCCGTAGCTTTTGGTCATCTGAGGCTTTCTGTTGGCTTACCGATCCTCCCCTTTAAAAATTAGGGTTATACATTTACTAAGCTTCGAGATTTGGTAATCAGACTACAGACA